TCTCCAGCCAAAACTGTTGGGTGAGTGACCCCAAAATGTATTTTATTCCAGAAAATCCAATCTTGAGATTTCTAACACAAAGTTTCTCATTTTCCACTGCTCGGGGCTGTTCTCTACCTTTCTGTTCCCTCTGTGTTTAATCACATGACAGCCTGAAAAAAACAGCCCCAACACAGTTTTTTTCTCATTCTACTGATGTTTCTCTTTTATCTAAAAGAAATAAAACGCTCCTTTGCCTCCGGCCTGTGGCAACCACCACATCTGAGCTGTGCTCCTGGGGGACAGGATGCCTGGATGCCCTGCAGCTGCTCCTGCCTCCCCTGTGCTTCTCTCCTTCCCTGTGTCTCCTCTTGCAGGTTTTTGGACCCTCCCCAGAGCTGTGCCAAGGACAGGAAGGGTGGTTTGGTGGAAGGAGCCCAGCCAGGCTCTGTGGGTCCCTGGGGTGGCTGCTGGAGCCGGGTGAGGATTTGGTGGCACATTTGGGGCAGTGGAGCTCCTGTGTCCCCTGCAGGGACAGGGGGATGGGGATGTCCCCGTGCACTTGGCAGCCAGCCCTGCCTCTGCTCCCTCCACTAGCAGGGGATATTTCCTATCTGTGAGAGCAGATGTTGGTTTGGAGCTTCCTAAGCAGTTTCTCTTCCCTCTCAGAATTGCTGCTTGGCGAGAGAATTAAATTCCCTTTTGTTGTCAGTTTAGAGGAGAACAAAACCAAATGTCACCTGGAGAAATTCTTGCCGCTGCACCCCCAGGGGATGGAACGGTTGCCTCAGGACCAGGATTAGCCCATCACTGGGAAAGCCGATGGTCCCTGAGGGGATTAGACAGATGATCGATGCTGGGATTAGTTCGTGTGGTGGCTGCGGTGACAGCAGCGACCCAGAGAAGCAGCTCCACCCTGCTTGGGCTTGCACCGAGCCAACCCCACCCCAGCCCATTCCCGGGGTCTCTGGGATGGTCCCTGAGCAGTGTCAGCCCTGCTGCAGCCAGCCCTGCCACAGATGTTCTGCATTTTGGCTTTCTCCCCCTTCCAGCCTCGTTAGTATTGAAATTAAAAGCAAGTGTTTGTGAATTGGTAGCTGTTCTCCAAGACCCTAATTAGCAAATCTCTTCATCCCCTGGGGCTGCAATCTAATAATCAAAAAAAGAAAACCGAAAAAAAACCCAAAAAGCCCAGCACCCAAACAAGCCCCAAACCTTGTTTGATAGATCGGGAGTGCTACTGGAACAGTAGGAAACGGCTCTTCCTGCTTAGTATGGTAATTAAACACTTCAATTGCAATTATTTTTGCAATTAGATAAGCCTCTAATTGTTATCATAGGTGGCAGGGGTTTGGGTGTGTGTTTGCCAGTTCCTCCCGGAGCTGGAGCAGAAGCGTGGATGCTCCTGGCCTGCTCCTGCCGGGTTTGTTTGGGGAGGAAAAGGGAAAAGCTCCCCCTGTGCAGGGACCCAGCTCCTGCTGCTCTCCAAAGCTGCTGATCAGGCAATTTCTCCATCTGCTCTGGGGGCTCAGCCCAGGAGTTTCATCGCTCCTCACCCCAAGGCTGCAGGAGGGGACCTTGCCAGGGCATCACCGTGCTGGGGAGGTTTCCTTGCCTGCTGATGTTTGGTGGGATCTGGCTGTGCTGGGGGCACTGGGGCTGCAATGCTCCCCCCTCTCAGCTTTCCTCGCTCTTTGGGAGCCAACTGCTCTCTGTAACCCCTAATCAGTGGTGGAAAGGGGAAACCCACGGAGGTGCTGGTGGCAGATGGTGACACCCAGCGCTGGGGTGGCTCGGTAGGTGTTGGGGAGTTGGGGGGAGTGATTGGGTGTCACCCTGATTTTTTAAGATTTTCTAAGCCTTCTGATGTTTACATTCTTGTAGCAAACTTTCTCACACACCTTCTGTAAATAACTTATTGGTTTGCATTCTTTTATGGAAGAGGAGGAATTTGACGGGCTGTTGGTTTGCCCAGTGTCACTGGAGAGGTGGCACTTTCACCCTCTAATCCACTGTCACTTTTGGAAAACTATAAATGCTGGAGTCAGAAAATAAACTTTCCCTTTTCTTCCCCTTGAGAGCAGCACTGTGAGCTTGTGTTGTCCCGTGTCCTGCAGTGATGATTGGGGTGCGCTGTGCCGGGTCGGGGAGCCCGGCCCCGCCGTGGGTGGTGGCAGTGGGTGATGCCCTGGGTGTGGCCGGAGCTCGGGGCCGCTCCGAGCCCGCCCCTGGGGGACGGCAAAGTGTCCCCTGCTCCATCAGCTCAGGGACCAGGAGGGATCACCAAGATGTGCTCCGGGGGGTGCCAGCCTTGCCCAGGGTAGCTGTGCCTCTGTTTTGGGTGTTTGTGCTGTGTGTCCAGGTTCTGTCCCAGCAGAGGGATGCGGATGGGACAGCAGGATGGAGCAGGGCAGGGAGGCTCTTCCCAGGACAAAGCACACCCACAGAAATCAAATATCTCATTTTCCTTCTGTCTTAAATAGATTTTTTTTTTATATACCACTGATTGTTTCTGCCCCAAACCCGTGCAGAAATCTTCTCTTTTGGGAGCCTTCATGTTGAGCTTCTCAGGAGGGCAGAGCCTGGGGCAAGCCCTGGCTGCTCAGTGCCTCCCCAGCAGGCTCCAGGACTTCTCTTTGCCTGGCACTAGGGCTGGGACAGGGGATGTGGTGTAGGGACAGCCCCAGGGATGGGAAGCAGCCTTGCCCCAGTGTGGATGCTGAGGGCCTGGGATGTCCTGTGCACAGATATCCAGCACTCGTGGCTGCCAACATCCACCACGCTGAGCCCTCTTGCCATGTCACCCCATCTTCCAGGGCCCCTCTGAGGGGTGGGTACTTCCCTAGGACACCAGGGAAGGTGGTGCCTGTGTTGTCTTTCTCCACCCTAGGCTGGTCTGCCTGGCACCACGACCTCAACAGCAGCTCCTTCCCCCTGCAGCCTGAGGCACTGCCAGGGCTCTGGAGAGGGCACTCCCAGCCCTGCCCTGCCTGCCAAGGCTTGCACTGCTTCCTGACCCAGCTCCCCAGGCCTCTCTTGTGCTGCTGTGGGGCTTGATGCTGAAAGTGCCACTCCCCACAGGATGGGGAGATGTTCTTCTGCAGCTCCTCTGAGGGCTCTTCTAACCCAGCACCTTCCTGGGAAGAAGCCTGGGCAGCAGAGGCCTCTCCAGCAGAGTTTGGGGATGGAGTGATGCCATCTGCCAGAGCAGGGATCCTGCAGGGGAACAGAGAGGGTGATCAGTGACTTTGCAAGATGCAGATGGGTCCATTTCCCCCCTCTCCTGCTCCCCAGTGTAAGGGGTGCTGCCCTCAGCACCCAGGGTGGGACTGTGATGTGATGCTGTGAGGATGCTCTTGGCATCCTCGACTAAATGCTGAGTGCTGGCAATTGGGCAGAGCTGAGCAGGCTTGCATCACCCCAAGACCTGTCACCCAATGCCCCTCTGAGCAATATCACTCTGCTTTGTGGCTTTCTCTGCCTGCTCTTCCTGTCCCTCAGGCCAGCTAGCAGCAGCAGGGCTGAGCTGTCAGTTGTAGCCTGACAAAAGTTGATGTCCTGGAGCTGGCAGTGCTCTGCTCCTGGGTGCTGCCTCTCCCGTGGCCCCTCTCCCTGCTGTGGGTCAGGGAATTTTTTGGTCAGGAGCTCTTTGGTTGGGTGTCCTGTATGAGGTGGTATTTCCTGTCCCCACCCCCATGGTGCAGAGAGGAAATCTGTGGTCACACCAAGACCTCAGATCTCCTGCAAACCTCTCCCCCAGACCTCTGCTTCATTCTGCTGATTAGATCAGCATCCTCTCAGGGGATGGCTGGCATTTTGCTTTTACCTCACAGAAACTACATGTGTCTTAGAACATATGCAGAGGGACAGAAAGCATGAAGCAGAAGAGCTGGAATTGGTGTCCCCTCTGCCCCTGCTGCTGGGCAGTGACAGCAGCAGAGATGACTCTGCCTTGTGTCTGCACTGTGCCTGCCCTGGGGACCTTCACTTTGTGCTTTGTGGTTTCCAGACTGGAAGGTTCACTCTGTTCCTGCTGCAGGGCACCAGTGATGCCTTCTCCCCAAAGAACAGCACCTGCAGCCTCCAGTCCTCTGCTTCTCCTTCTGCTGATGGGCAATGGCATTTCCAGGGTGATTCACAGGGGGTACCTCTGAGCAGGGCAGGTTTATGGTGCACCCCTGGCTACAGGTCCCTGCACCCCAGCTCTGTGTGTGGGCACACAGCACCAGCTCCTGTAATTGCTGTGACCTTGGCTGAGGCTGGAAGTGCTCAGGGTGCAGCAGGGACAAAGTGTGCCCAGCTTCCAGCACGTGGGTGACTCTATTTCCCCCCAGGGCTCGGTCAATATGGAGAGCCCAGGTTATCAGCAGGCAGCATTGGAGGGGAGAGCACGTGGAGGTCAGGGTGACCTTGCCTGGCTTCTCCTGAGAAGGGCTGCACAAAGTGGCTCTCTGGAGCTGAGAGGCATCCCCATGCATGGCAGTCGTGGCCTCCAGCCCAGCACCACTTGGAGAGAGCAGCAATGCCTGGTGCAGCATCAGCTCTTCACCTCGGGAGCCCTGCCAGCATCTCCGCCAAAGCTGCTGGCAATTTCTGGGGATGTAGGCTTGCATGAAAATGAAGTGTGCTGGAAATTCATGGTCTGAATGCAGCTGCCTCTGCAGTGCATGAGGAGCAGGCAGGATGCAGCATCTTTCAGGCTGATTCTATAATCCCAAAACTCCAGGGCAGCCGCAGAGGGGGGCCCAGCTCTGTGCACCTCCCCTGGGCTTGGGACTTGCTTGGAAAGCAACCAGTGATGGATAAAAGAGTGAGAATTCCTCTCTGATGGTATCACCCTTTGCACCAGGCACCACCAGGAAGGGATACCTGCACCAGGAAAACTGCAGTGGATGCCACAGCAGGGAGAGCTCCCTCATTTTCACCAGGGACCCTGGCCTTGTACTCACCCTGCAGCTCTCGCCTCTGCTGTCGAGTTTTGCGCTGAGGAAAGCTGAGTGTTGTCCTTTCAACCTCACAGACAGGATTTTGGAAGAGGGCAGCCAGGAGTTGAAGGCTGGGAGATGTGGGTCCTAGGGCAGTGGGCTGGCTGAGACTCACAGGAAAGCTCCAGTGCTGCAAAGGTTAAATTGCACATGAAGAGAGAGAAAGAACAGTCCAGTCTGTCAGGGCCAGCCTGCTTGAGCCTGGCTTTGCTCTGTGGAGCACCAGGAAGTGTCTGCCTGAGGCTGGCAGCTGGGGCAGATGTGTTGTGACCAGGACAGGGACCCTTTCCAGTGGGAACTGGCTTCTTCTCTGCCCATATATTGTGGCCATGGTCCTGTCCCATGCTGCTCTAAGCACAGATGGCATGCAAGAATGGATCCACAGCCACTCATTCAGCTCCAGAGTTTTCTTCCCCAGCACATCCAGTTAGTGCTGAATGCTCCCTCTCATGGGATTTTAATCTCTCTGAACACCAGGGTCTGGTCTCAGAGCCTACAGAGCAAGCCAAGCACCAGTTCTCTTCAGAGCCCTGTCCCACTGCACTGAAACAGGTTCCTGAGGTCCTCTGGTTTTCTTTACTGGTTTTGTGTGAGTTGCCTTCCTCTCTGATGTCTGATGTGGAAATGGGAGCAGCTGTCTTCTCCTTGCATCTCTGCTTGGTCCTGTACTCTCAGCCCTACCTGGTCCTCACTGATGGAAGTGCCCTCCAGCCCCCAGCTGCTGTGGAGGTCCCATGGCTTTTGACTCCCTGCCCTGCTCGTGACTGAGGCTCTGAGTGACCCTTGAGACTGGCTGCAGTGCTCCAGTATTTCCACTCTTGTTTGTTAGTCTTTTCCCTATGCCTCATAACTGAAAAGAACATTGTTATTAAGGGCAACAGTTCAAAATTCTGTTTTCCCTTGAATGATCCCACGGAGCTTTTCTGGGCAGAGCTCTTCTGAGCTCTGGGTGTTCCTGTCTGGGGGGTTATGAGTTTTTGGAATGATTTATGTTGGTCTTTTCCTGTTAACATGTTCAGGGCAGATGACTCTGAAGACTCTGCGGAGAGGAACCAGCTTGGTTTGTGCTGTGGGTGAAATTGGCTGCCAGGTTTTTGGTGAACAGGTAAATCCTGTGCTCACCTGTCTTGTGTGGTATTAGTTGATCCTGATCATCTGCCAACAGCAGATCTTGGTGCATCTGACTATGGAAAAAAGGACTGGAAGGGGCCACATATGATCATTGGTGCATGATTGCTGTGAGGTGAGAGGGCTACGAAGAGAAGGAGAGAAAGTAAAAGCAGGTGCTCGAGCAACTCTTATCTGATTGTGAGTGGAAACCACAGTGGTGATACTGAGGAGGATGGGGTGGAGCTCGCTGGATTTAGAAAGGTCAGGAAACATCCCCTTACTTGAGTGTTTCCTGTGGGGAACCAGGGAAAGAATCTTTTCTACCCGGAAAAGCTGTGAGGGTAAAAGCCAGGAAATCAGTGACCCTGCCCTCTGCCTGAGGAACAGAAACCCATTTTTCTTCCCCTTTAATCTCCCTCCAAGTCATTATTGTCCCTTTGTGGTAAGTCAGCATTTTGAGAGGACACTGACATTATATTCTGTTCTCTCTTGGCTGTGCAGGGAAGTCCCAACAGCCTGTTCCCCCCGAGCTCTCCTGGTTCAGCTGCAGAGCCTCAGCACAGAGCTCCTGCTTTGCCCAGGGGCTGCACTTCTGTGTGAGTAAACAGGAGAGCTCTCTTTGTCTCTGTATGTTTGCAGAAACACCCCCACCACCTTAGACACGTTTTCCATATGTTTTTATACACAACACAATTTGCCAAACGCTGTAACTTTGGGCTCCTCATTAATTCCTTGGAAATGGAAAAAGGCAGCCCCAGGAGCTGCATTCTTGTATTTGTTCCTGTTAATCCATCCCTCTATATCACCTTTTCTGCACCCCTCCCTTGGGTACAGTCACATTGGTGCCCTGGGGGAGGCACGATGCTGGATCAGCCTTTTGGATGGCTCTGAACTTTGGTTCACCTCCCTGAGTTCTCCTTTCGGTGGCTTAAGACTCTTTCTGGGGCAGGATCAAGGGCACGTGCCGGGAGAGCGCGCGAGCCGAGCGCGGCTCCGCTGCCGGCACGCTGGGAACAGGGAATCAAAGGACTCCTTATCTATGGATGGAAAGTTTCTGGGCTGCTTATCAGGCACTGCTTAGAGGTTAGATTATCTCAGGAGCAGCAGATTGACAGCCTGCCTCTCCGCTCTCCTTGTGCTTGGCTGGGCGAACACCTTGGAGTGAGGCAGTGAGAGGGTGGCACAGCCCTGTGAGGATGTGGGTGCCCAGGGAAGGGGCTGGGGAGGCAGCCTGGCATAGAACTTGCCCACTTTGCTCCCATCCTGCTCCCTCACCACACCCTTTGCTGGGGCTGTCCCTCGTAACATGCTTGGGGTGGCACTGAGGGATTTTTTTGCTCTAAATTTACATGGGCATTTGTATTTCTAAAAATATCTGCCAGCCTAATTTGGGCTACTCCTGCCCCTTTCCAGAGATGGGAATGGAACTTGCTGTTGGCTGAATTCACTGCTGATGGAAGCTGGTGGCTGAAATGCTGAGGGTGTGTGGCTCAGACGGGGAGGGAAGTGGCCGAGCTGCTCTGCAGGGAGCTGGGAACCCAGACCTTGGCTCCTGCAGGGACTCCCAGCCTGGCTGCAGGTGCTCTGACTGTGCCCCAGGACTAATTCCCATCTTCCCTTCTGCCACCTTTCCTGGCCCCTGAAGCTCTGCTCTGTGCCCAGAATTTGGTGTCCGTTCCTCACAGGGACACAGCTGATTTTGGGGGGCAGCCCCAGCTAAAAGCTTCACCCCATTCTGTTCGGCAAATTCTGGTGGCAACTGTCCCCATTACCCAGCAAAGCCAGGGGACATTTTGTGCTCCCTGTGAGCGGTGGCAATTCCAGGGGAGGCTCAGCCATGTGGGAAGCTGGAGTACCTGGAGCTGTGCTGCCAGCATGGAGGGGATGCAAGCTGGGTTCTTATGGGTGGTGAGGAATTTCTGAGTGGCTGAACTTAGGAGTTGCCTGGGCAAGGATCTCCAGCTGGGGCATCAGTTTTTTGCTTAAAGTTCATGGACAATGTGGGGTCCCCACCTCTGCCTTCCTCTCTGGGGCCAGACCTACCATCAAAGTCCCGAGTGTAAGAAGGCTCTTACCTCTTGAGGGCTCCATCAGTGAGCAGAGTCCCCTTCTCATTCCTCACCTCCAGCTTCAAGGGTTTGCTCTCCTGCCTGCCCTGGCCCTGCCTGCCCCTGGGCTTGGCCTTCTGCAGGGGAGGCAGGTGGGAGCTCCTGGGGTGTCCCGTCCTGCAGCAGTGCAGCAAGTTCTGGTAGGCCACTCGGAAATCCTTGTTGAGTGTCCCATAGAGGATGGGGTTCAGGGCTGAGTTGGCATAGCCCAGCCAGAGCACAATGGACATGGGTGTGCCTTTGACCTGGCTGTCCCCCCACACGCCCCGGTAGGTGAAGAGGGTGAAGTAGGGGAACCAGCAGACGATGAAGGCTCCCAGCACCACTGCCAGCGTCACGGTGGCTTTGTGCTCCTTCACCATGGGGGGCACGGGCGCGTTGCCCCACGTGTGGTTTATCCTCTTGGCTTGCTCCCTGGCTATCCTGAGTATCCGGTAGTAGGTGATGCACATGATGACCAGAGGGATGTAGAAGGTGAGCAAACTGTCCACCAACCCGTACACAAGGTTCACTGCCAGCGTGCACTCCTTGCTGCAGGTGGGGCCTGTGTTTTCCACTGCTGTCCCCTTGGTGTTCCAGCCCAGGTGGATGGGTAGGAAGGAGACCATCAGTGAAACGGTCCAGATGATGGCCAAGCCCACGGCCACCCGGGAGGGAGTGACCACCTGGCCGTAGCGGAGCGGGGTGGTGATGGCAAAGTAGCGGTCCAGGCTGATCATGAGGAGGTTGAGGATGGAGGCCGTGCACAGCATGACGTCCAGGCTGGTGTAGATGTTGCACAAAACGCTGCCAAAGGGCCACTCCTTGGTGAGCTCATAGAAAGCAGAGAAGGGCAGCACCAGCAGCCCCAGCAGCAGGTCTGTGATGGCCAGGGAGACGATGATGCGGTTTGTCACGCTCCGCAGCCGCCGGTCCAGGGTGACGGCCAGGCAGACAATGATGTTACCACAGAGAGTGATCACGATGAGGATGCCCAGAAAGAACCCGACCAGCAGCTGCAGGGGGGGGTCCATGCTTTTTTGAGAGCTTGTGTGGTTGTAACATGGATCCATGGTGTCACTGCAAGGATGGAGCAGTCCTGCTCTCATCAGCTCCAAAGCTGCTTGGAGTGAGCCTGGACCAGGCAGGCCTAGAGCTCTTCCCAAAGTGATTCTTGTTCTACAGGGACCTTGGAGAACATTGCAGAGTCACTTTTCACATTCAGCCTTGTGTGCTGGGACTGACATGGTCTGGGAAAGATGTGGCACTGCAACTCATTTGTGCCTGTTGGCCCTCTCTGAGAGCTCAGTGCTGGAGCCGATGCCCTGTGGCAGCTGCTGGTGGATCTCAACTGCTTCTTTTCCTTTCTTGCCTTCTCCTTTCCTCTGAGTGACCATTGGGTCAGGTCCTGTGGGCTCTCATGCCCTCTGCATGTTTGGTTGGTGACAGTGGTCAGCAGTGCTCCAGCAGGGACAGAGCTTTGCCACCTCCCAAGGACAACCTGCAAAAAGAAAGTGTCTGGTGAGGTCCTGGCACAGATTGCCCAGAGAAGCTGTGGCTGCCCCATCCCTGGAAATGTTCAAGTCTAGGCTGGATAAGGCTCTGAGCAGCCTGGTGTTGCAGAAGATGTCCCTGTCCTTGGCAGAGAGGTGGAATGAAATCTGTAAGATGACTTCCTAACCATTCTGTGATTCTATAAAAGCATCAAGTCAGAGCTGCAGTGGGCAAAGACCCTCTGAGCTTCCCCTCAAACCCTTCCAGCAGCAGGGTGTCTGATCCTCCCTGGCTGCTCCAGCCCATTTAAACCCAAACTGAAAGTCCTTTGGCAGCCAGGCACCCCTGTACCTGCCAGCTGGGCTCTCCCAGCCCTAGGGGTGCCCATGTAATGGAGGGATGTTGAGAGAAGAGCAGGGATTTTAAAATTGTCATCTTCCTATAGGCTTACAATAAATGTGAGAATGAGGAGGATATGAGGAAACAATTTTCCTGAGATAGCAGTTCTTATGCAGTTCAGCAAAATTAGTCACAACTACATAATTTCTGAATCTTGGCTGTGGCTGCCGATCTCATCAAACTTTGTCCTTGTGTCTGTGCTTTGCAGCAGCCATCCTGCCATATCACAAATCACAGCAGCTCCTGTAGCCTGTATGGGAAATCCCCACTCTGCTCTGGGTCCTGGGAAGGGAAGAAGAATTTCCCTTGCAGGCTGATTTTTCCTGGCTGTTTTCTGTCTGGATACAAATAACAAAACGCCACATGTTGCCAGGGAAGAAACAACAGAGCAAACCACTCTAACTTAAAATGAACTGCTGGTTTTGGTGATCTCAAGACCCTGCCACTACTAGACTCAAAGGTTCCTTGGGTCCTTGATTGGAAGCAATATCCCTGTTGGGAAGATACCTAAAGGGGAATTGAGGCAGTGCAGGGACAAGAAAGAGGGCTGGGAATGGCTGAGGAGCTGGACTGACTTGCTGACCCTCATGGATCTGCCTGTGTCCAAGCTCTGGTCTCCCAGATGATCTGAAGGGTCTCCCCATCCTCCTCAATGTGCTGGTCCCTGTGGGTGGTGCAGGACCCAGCTCTGCAGGCTCCCTGCACCCCGTGGAGCAGCAGGGAAGCCTCCCTGGTGGTGCCCAGGATTGTGCAGGAAGGCAGAGCTGCAACAGGCTGCAGAGATGGAGCGATCAGAAGCAACTCCAGGAAAGGAAAAGATCCAGCATTGTCAGAGGACAAAGGTGAGATTTTTAAACTTCCCCTGCATCAACAAGATAACAATGTGGTGCAGGTTGAAATATTCTTCAGATGATTTATGTCTTTGATTGAAGTCTAAAGGCATGGGGGCCACATGAGGGAGTATTCCAGGGAGACTGCACGAGTAAACAACCCCTGATTGCCAGGAGCCATGCAGGGGAGAGATTGGGACTGGACCACTGAGATTAGAGGCGACTCTCACAGCCCTGCTGCTTCTAAAGGCATGGAAAGCAAACAACAAGCCACGACCCAGCCCATGGGAAGCCTTTTGCTGAGCAGAGCAAACTCCTTGGCAGACAGGAAGCCCTCTGAGTTTGGGTGCTGGGATTGAGGCTGCTGGGAGAGGGATGTGAAGCTTTCAGCCACGGCAGCAGCAGCGTGTGGAGCAGTTCCTCACCTCCAGCTGCAGCATAGGCTCTTGCCATGGAAAGCTCTTTGTTCACTCACAAAAGGAGTGTGGAACAAGCTGAGCGCTGCCTGCCCACTGACGGCAGCGAGGAGAACAGGTTGTTCCCACAGAAGGGTATTTCCAAGTGAAAGGGATGTGCTTTCATTGCTCCCAACATATGGAAATGGCAGATTAAATTATAGGGGGAGTAGCACACTTAGAAAATGCTGTGGGTGGATGGCAGCCTCCTACGTGGCTGCTTCACCACACACCAACAACCTGCTCCCGCCTCTGGCTCTCCCAGCTCACATGGGCTCTGCTGGTGGGACCCAGCTCTGGGCACTTCAGCTCCTGCCACGCTGCCAGGGCAGCTCCTGGTGCAGCCCTGCCATGAAGATGAGCCCAGAAGGAGTTTTGCTCCTTATTTCTTTTTCAGATTAGCTCAGGGCAAGGAATGGCCACTTGCAAAGGGACAGAGGTGTCCCCATCCCTGCAGAGGAGCTCAGGTAGTGCTGGGGACTCTGCAGGGCTCAGCTGCCTGCAAACCCTTGGGATGTTCCTCCATGCAATGGGGCAGGATCTGCCTCCTGTCAGCTGGGATGTGTGATGCTGCAACCCTGACTGTGGTGGAGGTGTGGGACACCTTCCCATATCCCCCAGCCAAATCATCTCATGGAAACGCTCCCCCAGGAGAGCACAGCCTCTGGACATGGCTTTGCAGGAAGAGCAGGCTGGAGGGCTGGTACAGCTGGGGGGCTGTCAGCTCACTGCCAGCAGGACACAGACCATGCATCCAGCTCAGAGCTCTCTCCTGGAGCATCGGCTCTCTGTGACTCCACATGTGCTCCTGGCTTTGTGCCCAGGTCACTCACAGCCACCTTCACTACCTGTGTCCTCTGTTCCTGTTGTGTTTTGGCAGAGTGAGTTGATTTCCTCCTCGATGTACGAGTGGAGTAGCTGTTTCCCATGGCAGTCTTTCCAGCAACAGCCGGAATAAATGACACCTTTCCAGCCCTGTCTCACCAGGCAGCTTTTACATTTACCTGCTTATCCTCATTATCACAGCCTGGACCTATTTGTGGTTCAAAATCACCCTCCTGACATTGAAGGAACCAGAGCAGGGCACAGCTTCTGGGTCATCTTTTTCCATGGCACTGGTGTTCTGATTGACACTATCTCTGCTGTGAAGACTTTTCAGGTTGCATTTGTTGTTACACTCATCCTGGGGTTTCCCAAAAGCCAGATATTTTTCCTATGGTGTTTTCAGCTGCTTAGAGCAGCAATTTTTGCTTTTTGCTAAGCCTGTGAGCTTGTGCCAGCCTGATGTGTTTCTATTTATCTACAGATCCTCTGGTTCTTCTCCTCTAGTACTTAGTCCCTTGTCCAGTGCAGAACTTTTCCCAAGTTTCTCACCAGTACATTTCTCTTAAAGAAGCCCTAGTTTTCTGAGTCAAGATCACTAATGAAAACCATTAAATAAAATTTACCTCTAGGCTGATCTTTAAGAAACTCTGTTAATAGCCTTCTCTGGTGCATTAATGATCTTTCCGCTGTAATATCCTATTGTCTCCCCATTATCCTCTTTACAATTCTCATAATAATTTCTGCTTTCTCTTGCCTGAACAGATATTTTCTTCTCTGTTGCAGTCCATGTTGCATTTGATCCGCCGTTTTCCTCTTTAAAATGGCATTTATCTCCTCTGGGGAGTGGGTTGTGATTTATTAATGGGAAATTTCTGTTGCGTTTTACCCTTTTATTCCCCCTCCCCATCTCTCAGCATCCTTTCCTCCAACATCATTAATTCCAGCACTTGGTGCACTTTTGCAGTAAGATTAATGGGATGCAGTGCTGGCTCTGGTAGGGAATGCATTGGCTGCTCTCCCTTCCTGTGCTTCTACTCCTGGCATAACAGGTTTGTTTTGAACCTGTTAAAAGCCCGGGTACATTGGCACCATGAGCAGACACGACTCGAGAGGAGCACTCAGGAGGTGCCTGAATGTGGCAGCCTCTCTTTGGGAAGTATTTCCCACTTCTGGGAAGGACGGAGGTGGCTGGGGGCTCAGGAGAAGCACCACATGAAGCCTTTTAGCTCTGTCCTAGGGACAGGAGGGCTGTGCCCTTGCAGACCTGAAATGTTCCCCTGCCTCTCATGATAGCTTCTTTCCGAGAAAAGAGCAGGCAGAAAAAGCTCTTTGCACTTGGGAGCAAAGTGCATTCCCTTGGTCATGCAGAGCTCGCAGCAGAGCATCATGGCTTTTTCTAGAATTATATTCAACTCCTTCCTGAGATGACACATCTGGGCATGCTGGGAGAGGTATTTCAGCCAAGAGATGGGAAGGAATGTGGGGGATTCTTCTGGTCTGAGACAGGATGCCTGAGGTCTGATGGTGGGAATTGCAAAACTCCCAAGCTGGGAATGGGTTTATTGATCTCCTGCCAGGCTCATAAGCCTGATTCACAATGGGACAACAGCAAATTTGTCACAGGTAGGACTTGAAGGCAATGTGGGAGAGGACAAACTCAAGGGGACACTGCTGTCTTGCCTGGCTGCATCCCCAGACACTTCTGTCCCTGTTCTTTGGGCTTCTCCAGAACTTGGTGCTCTCTCTGCCCTATCCCAGTGTGGTGTCTGGTACCAAAGCAGCAATTATTGCCTCTGGCATGAGCAGAAGGGCTGGGGGAGCCAGGACAAAATTCCCATCACTGCCACCAGCTCTCTGTCATGCTTCCCCAGGAGGAAAGGGGCTCTGTGGGTGAGAAGCTGTTCAGGACTCCTGAAATCAGGAAATGTGAAGACCAATGTGGAAATGCACAGATCAGTCAGCATTTCAAAAGTTTGCTCGGCAGACAGTGTCCAGGAAAGGTGAAACTGAAAACAGAGGAGTTGGGCTCATGGGTGTGCTTGGAGCTGCCTGAGTTTCTGGGATTCAGCTCCTGCTGAAGCTGATTCTGGACAGGGACAGGGAGCACGGGGCACCCCTGGCACTGCCCAGCCCTCCTGTGCTACAGCCCAGCCCGGGGGTGTCCTGCCCACAGA